TACCCTGAGGTACCCCTGAGCAAGGTACCGTCCCTACACACTGCTCCCCGGGCGCCCAATGGCTGCCCACTGCTTCACTGAGTGAATGGGTTAAATGCAGAGAGTGATTTTCCCCACGGGGACCAATAAAGTACACTTTCTTTCTTTCTTTTCATATATGTGTGTTGTAGCTCATGTACTGCTGTGCTGCAAAAATATGATTTCTGTATGGTGTCCTCTTTCTTTTTTTCTCCTTCAGGTACATTCAGTCTCTCACCACCAACGTGTCCTATGTAAGATATAAAGAAGTCTACTCGGCTGCTGCTGAAATTATCGGCCTCATCCTGAAGAGCATGACTGATATGGGCGAGGTATGAACTTTCTTTAGTTTCGGTTCATTTATGCCTCGACCACATGTTAGGTTTATTTTGACGAGTCTAAGTGTTTATCTTATGTTATCCTTCTCAAATCACTGAAATCCGTTTTTCAGTTTTATTGCAAGAATTGTTGTTTTTCCCTCACAAGTATGACTTAATTTTTTAATGTTTTTATTGCTTAGCAACATCAAGAACTTCTCAGTCTTGCTACAAGTAAGATAACAAATCTGAAGAAAAAAGACCTGGATGACAAGTTCATTATTTGTTTGAACAAAGTCTCCAAGCATTTTCCTCCATTTATGGATCGGTAAGTTTACAGTGCGAATTTATTTATTTATTTATTTTAGTATAATTTTCTAAATGTAATTATCAAGCTACCTTCCAAGCTTTGGTCTTCATTATTTTCTTTGTATTTTTCAGGTTTGTGAATTATGTGTTCTTCCTCCTGCCAAAGCTGCACGGCGTCTTAAAGACTAACTGCTTGGAGTGCGTTCTGAGCCGTGCTGATGTCATTCCAGACATCTTCCTGCAGCTGAAGATCACCGGCTTCATTCAGATGATGAACCATAGGCGAGTTCTTCCTTACTGCCTCTCTGTTTAGTTCTCTTTTTTTATTATCATATCCACCATCATCATTGCAAAAATGTCAGAAATGATCACAGAACCCTATTGGGCCTCTGCGGTGGAGTTTTCTTTTTTTATACACGCCAACAGGGCCAAACATTTGAATGTGTGTTAGCGCAAGTAAAATCCTTTAATGGTGATGGAAGCATTAACCATACGGAATCAATGGGAATTTGACATTCAGGGCATTTTTTTAAATTTAGTTTGTGATCAATTAAATAACTATAAATGTGGGGTGGGTTAGCAGGTGATCTATATGCCTGGGTTCAGCTCCACCTGTCCTGTGTGCCATTCTCCCTGTTCTCTGTCCCTTCTTTCTTGTTATAAAAATAATAAAAGCCAAAAATAAATCTTACAAAGTTAAAAGTGTAAATTAAGAGGTGCTGAACCATGTTCCTCCACATTTCTCTTTCCAGGGATGAGGCACGGCAGAGAGCATGCCTCGATATCATCCACAAGATTATTCCCCGTCTGACGCCGGTGGAGCTTCAAGAGCTGCTGGGCTCTGTGACGGCTTTCGTCTCTCATCCTTCTCCAGTCTGCAGAGAGCGGATGTACGACATCCTAATGTGGATCCAGGACAACTATGGGTGAGGCTTTTTGGCTTCCAGTCTCAACCAGATCATAGTTTACTATTTTTTTGTTTGCCTTATTGGTATTAGTGTTTTCAGATTCGACCCACATAATGCCTTTGTACAGTCTTTTTTCAGTAGGATCGTCTGACCGTTTTATTCATGTGACATGTTATTTTTCTTCCAGCGATGATGAAAGCATGGAAGACAACACCTCAATAGAAATTCTCAATGCTGCTAAAGAAACACTGCTTCAGGGTTTGTCAGAAGAAAATCAAGGCCTTCAGTAAGCACCCAATATGACTTTTTTATCCCCATGCTAATATAATGAGATACTTTCCGCAGTGGATATTTGTATTTTTTAAATTTATTTCATCTTTTGTCGACTCTTCTGATGTTGTGAACTCCTCGTTCCGTCTTTTCAGGCTGTATGTTTGTAACTTCTGGAGTCAGGAGAAGCGCCTCCCCACTGCGACCCTCGAGCGAATGTTGATGGTGCTCCGTTCTCTGTACTCCTGCAAAATAGAGAGGTGCTTTTTAAGCCTGGCCACCAATCTGCTTCTGGAAATGACGAGCCAGAGTCCGGACTTTAAACGAAACATGTTTGAGTATCCGCTGTCCGAGTGCACCTTCCAGGTCAGCGTTTGTGTTTCTTGGATTCGTTTACAGAAAAGAAGAAGAAGAAACAACTTTATCTGTTTTGGGTTTTTTTTAATTTGCTTGTTACTAAGAAGCCTGATTTGTGAATATCATGTTTTCATTTCAATCTATAGGACTATGTGATCGATTCCAATTGGCGCTTCAGGAGCACAGTAATGACCCCCATGTTTGTTGAAACCCTAAGCTCTCAAGGCCCAGAGAGTGTGGCAGCATCTCAGTCTGGAGCGATGAAGGGAAAGCTCCGAGCCACGCAGACTTCATTAGAGTTCAGTCAGACACAAACACAAGGTACCGCTGTGTTTCAGTTTACCCACCTTCAACGCAACAAAGTACCTGTTAAAATGCTTTCCTTCATTTTTGAATATGCAGATTACCACAGCTGTGTTTTTCCCAGGTCGACGTACTGCATATAACTGGCTGACAGGCAGCAGCGTGGATACGCTGGCAGAGTACTCACTCGGCTCCGAGTCGATGTCGTCGTTGCTGGTGTTTGATAAGAAAGCAGAGAGGCGAACCGCAGCGAGAAGACCAATAGGAGAAGGCTTTGGGCTGAGGCGCCTCACTGCATCAACAGATGAGGTGGACAGCCGCACCAGAGGTTAGTTTGACCATCCACCTCAGTATTAACTGCATAGTATTAAATGTAAACTAATGTTTCAGTTTTTGATTAAAAAAAAAAAAAAGCACCACCGCAAACACATCTTGTTTCAGTAAGAAGAGACTAAAGCTTCACTCATTGGTTTAAATGTAAATTTTCACTTTGTATGAACAGCAGTAAATGAGCAGCGGGCTAACATCCTGAGACTGAGACGCAGGTTTCTGAAGGATCAGGAGAAAGTCAGCTTAGGTTTTGCCAAAAAGGAGATCCAGCATCAACGGCAGGAAAAGGTATCTACCGTGCTGGGATTCAACCAGGAGCCACTCAGACCAATCCGTTCATCTATAATGCAGATTTTCTGTGTTTGCTCTCGCTAACTTTCCAGGCCTGCGATAGACTCGTAACTATCAGTGGTTCTCTTGTGTGTCACAGGAAGAAAAAGCCAATCTGGCCCTTAGAAAAGAGGCTCAGGTGACTTTGTATCGTAACTACAGGGTGGGAGACTTTCCAGACATCCAAATCCCGTACAGTAACCTCATCGCTCCACTTCAAGCTCTAGCACAGGTAAGACTGCCAACGCCATCTGTTCAGACAAACCATAAACGGGCACATGATGGACGATATGATCAGACTTTGATTTTATCATAAACACTTCCATACAACAAAAATAGTTGCAAATGATGGGCCAAAATGAAGGGGGAAATTTTAAGGAAGAAATATTGTATGTAAAATGTTAAATATTACATTTTTCCCCTTGCCCTAACTAGAGAGACCCGATTTTAGCCAAACAACTGTTCAGCTCTCTTTTTGCTGGTATACTGCAAGAAATGGCGAAACAACAGAGGCCAGAGGAGAGCGCGAGGATCAAAGAGGAGCTGCGGTCCAACATGAGCAACTTCCTGAGCAAGAGTACGCTCTGCTTTCCTCCGTTTATAGCATGTGTGCAGGTAACAGATTTGATAGTTAAACTCCCCTTTCTGTATTTAATATATTGAAGAAAATATATAAATGTTGTATTTTGGGGGGCTTTTTTGTGTGCTAGGATATGTGCTACCAACATAAAGAGCTCCAACAGCTCAACCCAGCTTCCATCAGCTCCACTTGTCTCATGAGTCTGCAGCAGCCATCGGGCATCCTGCTGCTGGAAGAGGGTTTACTGCATGCTGACGGCCCCACTGAACGTCCTGCCAAACGGTCACGAGGACACAAAGAAATCCCCCCAGACACCAATAAATGGATTAATCTCGCAAGGTATTGCAGTAATTGCTGCCTTACAGCTGAGTGTTATTCTTAATATTTCTTTATCTGATTTTTTTATTCTTCAAAATATTTAATTACATCAACGAACAAAATCAGAGCTATGATGTCACTGAAGGTCACAGGTTCAGGAGTTTTAGTTTGCTGATTGAGAGTGTCTGGAGTTTGTTTTGAAGTGGAAAATTAAAAAAAAATCTGTATAGTATTGTGTGTTGTGATTTTGTGTCATAACATGGACACCAAATATCAATATTTTTCTGATATTTTGGACTGACTTCACTCACTCATAGAGATTGTTGAAGGTTTGGCAACAAGTAATGTCTAATTTATAAATGCAGACAGATTGCTGCATTTCCATCAGTCTGAATGAATCTGTGTCACAACTCGAGGGGACAGCTGGTTGTATTGTGGTTATATTCCTGCAGAACAGGAACGTTGCTGGGAGCAAATGTAATAGTTAAATGTGACTTTCTCTCCATGTAGACAGCAACACCCGTGACTTTCACTGATTTATCACAGTTAATTGCTGTAATATAATAAGTAGATTGCTTTTAACTGCAAACTAGACTAATAGTATAATGACTTCATCTTTAATAACGTTTATTTCACTGTCAGTGTTTGCATGTGTTGACTGTCTCACTTTGCTTCAAAAACCAATATTCAGCATGTCACAAAATCACGGTAATATTGTATCAGGAGTGAAGTATAGTGATAAAGTTGTATCACGGGGTGTGTGGTGGTTGCCACCTCTAATATTTACTGTGCTGTTTGTCTCCCGCTGTTCTCCAGGCTTTACAAATCTTTGGAAGATTATGATGTTGTGCGTGGAATCTTTGGTGGTAAAGTCGGGACCAAATCCATCACTTGTACTGCGCTCCAAGCTGAAGCCAACACTGACTTTGCAGAGGCTGTGAAGCTTTACAATGAGGTTTGTTAGTCCAGTAGAAGCTGGTGGTTGAATCCCATATTTTCCCACCGGAAGGGAAGGAAACCATATTAAATATTTCAGGAAAACATATGAAGTAATATATGAAATCAACGGGCACCAGGTTTCACCGGATTGCTTGCTGTTTGTTTAAACTCTTATATACTGACAGGCTCTAAACACCGAGAGCTGGCCTGATGGCGAGCCCACAGACAGCGAGAAGGACTTCTGGGAGATGGCTGCTATGGATGCATATAGTCATTTGACTGAGTGGAAGTCTCTTCAGTACTGCTCCACTGTGAACATAGATGAAAACTCACCACCCAACTTGGAAATGATGTGGTCAGAGCCTCTCTACCAGGTAATAATAACCCAAATGATTTTACAGTTTAGGAATTCCCACTCACCTGCAACTGAAGCCTGCATCTTTCCTCTGTTGTGGTAACTGATGGCTTAAATTGGAAACCTACATTTTGTAATCTATTCATTCATTTCGTGGCTTTCCAAAACTCTTTGAATGAAACACTGCCGCAGTGAATTAGGTTTAAAGATTTACTTTGCAGGGTTTGGGGCTGTTGATCTGCAGAAATAGAACATATTTGT